AGGTGTAAGCTGAACTAAAAGGTAATTTCATTTAGAAATTAAATTTTCAAACTCTGGTTTATAAAGACTATGAAGAAGTTTCATCTAGCCATTAAGTGATAAACAACTGAGAACCAAAACCTATAAAAAAATTTCAACTTTGAATTATAATTAACATAAAAGATATAATCTGTTCATCTATCATGGTGGTCACAGAACATAAAAAATACACAACTATCTAATAGCATGGGGGCATCCACTGACCCTCTTAAGCTTTTGCGGAACTCTACAAAGCCAGAATTGCACACGTGTGCGTGCTGACGTGCTGTAAATGTGATTCTGCAAATTGTAAGAAGCAGAATATTAGAATTACACACGAAAACCTGGGAAATGACACACTCAAAAATGTAAATAGATATATGTATGTGCTTGTGGAAACTAACATACCCTTTAGGCAAATACTCCTGAAAATTCAGAGAGAAACATGTTTTAAACAGTTGTCTTCACATTCTGTTCAGAATGACATTTTTAAACTACAGTGTGGTAGCAAGTGAAGGATAATTTTTAATGAAGCCAATATATCTTACTTATGTATACTCTAGATAATTGATAGTATCTTTTTCCTCATTTAAGATGGTATTTTCTAAGGAGATGACAGAAAAGGGTAAAATAAAAGGCTGTCCTTTATGTAAAATCTTAGCTTAGTGACTGTCTAAATGAGTGTGAGAGGAAAACACCCTAAAATTCTAAATAATATCTTCATATCCTTTAAAAGATTATTTAAAATATAACTGTAGCATTAAGTAATATGCACATATATGCAGGTAAGCAGTTTTTGTTAGAAACAGCAGAAGTGTTTTAGGTAAGAGCTCAGTAGAGACTGCAAGGTGGTAAGATGCTGAAAAGAAAACATTTGGAAAAATGAATAAATAAGAATCATTATATAATTTCCTCTGGGATTTGGACTATTTTTATTTGGTTATTTTCTGGTTGTTCATATGGAAAATTTACAGGGTCATAATCTGTGATGCCTTAAATTGTTTGGCCTTTATACAATGAGTATTTTATTGCATGAGAAAAGGAACCAGCAGGAAAAAAAAAAAAGGAAAATCTGAAAATAATCCCTTTCTGCACCAGAATCCGATGTCGTCAGAGAACAATGTCTAAAGAAAAGAGAGGGAATTACATTAGAAAGGCTATTTCCATGCCTTGTTTGGCATGCCGCTCAAAGCTCTTCTTTGAAGTAAGACACATTTCTTATGATAGCTTGCACTGAAGAAGATAATTTCTTCTTAAAACCAGACTTATTTTTATTTATCTTCATTTTATCACTCATAAGGCATATTGAAAAATCTCAAAGAGCAGGATCTCATTGTCACTGCACCCCGGCGACGTGATGGTATCTAGGCTGAGCCTCATTTTCTTTCTGAACATATGTAACGTTTGCCTTATTTTCAAATAATATTCAATCCTGCTTCTAATACCAGATTTTGTTATCTTAGCAAGTAAGATAAAGGGCCGCCTGCAGAAAAAGGGAACGGGAAGGAAAGAGCGCAGCGGTGGTGTTAGGATCTCTCGTACTCACGGCAGCAGGATGGAAACGTGCTGTTGATCTGCTCCATGACCTCCGTGAGGTCCGTGCTGGTGTCGCGCGGCGGGGCCAGCAAGTCCTCTCCCACTGTGACGGCACATGCAAAGAACGGCAAACTTTCTAAAATTAATGTCTAGCCTTCCATCAAAACCCAAACTCAGGAGAAAATACTACTAGCAGCCTCCAAATAGCAATGTGAAAAGAGTTCCCATTGAAAAGGACAATTTTAGGGAAAAATACCCAAACTAATTTTGTATTAATTTGTTGGTAATATAATTTTATATAATTACAATGTACTAGATGTTTGTGTAGAAAGAACCCATGCACCAGGGGAAAATACAAGACTGAAAAATAAGCCACACAGTCATATTATTTTAATTAGCAAGATATCTATTATTTTGCATTGAGAGTATTTTTTCATACAAGAAAAATATTCTACTACTTTTCTTTTTTTTTCCCTTCTTTCTTTTTGGAGGCTTCAGCATAGGCCAGCTTACCCTGCCACAAAAGGAAAGGTATCTTCTCATAAGATACTTTTTAGTTTGATATTTTTTTTATTCTACAATCAATAGTCAAATGACTCTCTTATTTGAAAAAATATTAAAACAATATTAATATTTAATTTTTTCTTCTGATTAATGTACCTAAAGACCACACAAATAAGTTAATTTAAAGCATGTGGTCCTCAGTAGAATTTTAGAATTTGAATTCATTGATAATGAAATATTCCTAGTAAATACCCAGTTTGCTGAGCCCTTCCTAGCATCAGTGACAAGTCCCCACTGTGAGCGGTGACAGGCTAGGTGGGGCCTCTGCCTCAGATGGAGCGAGTGGGGCGATGTCTACACAAACTAGGATGGAGAAAAGTAGACCAATGAGTTCCCAGACCTGGGCAGGGAAAACCATTACGTTTGGTATAATATTCTTTAGTACTGTGTTCTAAATACACACAAATGTGAAACTTTAGAGACAGAAAATGTACTAAAAAGAAAAAAGAAGAACCATTCTCAAAGCAACTAAAAAATTAATTTCTTGCTCATCCCAAAAGGAAAGAGATTTTTTTCATCTTTTAGCAAAATTTAATCTACTATATAAACAAGCATGTTATAGCTTATTATTCTAAAAATGTTTGCATTTTTGATATTACTTAAATGGATTTGCACTTATTTGAGAGCAAAGATAATACAAAACTCTTTTATGCCCTAAGGTGCCAGTGTGCAAAAATGCTACTTAACATGAAAACCAAACAAATGGCCAAGCACAAAGCTGACTGGGTGGAGTGGCTGTGTCTTGGGGACACTGACCTGCCTGGGGGAACTGCAGGCTGCGATCCGGTTCCAGTGGGTAGCTCAGAGCAGAATGCTGTGGCAGGGCCCAGGGGGAGACGCCATTGATTCGGGAATCGGATTCAGGCTGGAATCACATTCAGAGGTAAATGCAGAGAAAGGATTCAGATAACCGCAAAGTACGACATTTCCTTTCCAGTTTCCCCTCCCTCACCCTGGATAATTAAATCTTACAGAGTTCCTTGTCTTTAGACATTTTCCAATACATTTTAGTCTCAGTGGGGTTGGGGCGGGGGGCTGGTACTTCACCTGAGCACCAAGTAAGTGATTCTTCCCTTTCTGCTCGGGCACCTTGAAGAACTCACTTGGTTATACTGCAAGATTGATTTATCAGTGTCATTTTCACCCCTCAATTTTTCTATTATTTTTATGTCAACCAAGTGAATTTGGAAACATCTCTCATTCATCTTTAAAAAATTGGCACTGATCTTCTAATACAGAAAATTTATCCAATTTCAAAATCAACTCATGTTTAAAAGCAATATTGGAGAGCGGTTAAGAGCACAATTTTGGATTCAGATTGCTTGGATTCCAATTCCAACTCTGCCACTCAGAAGCTATGTAATTCTGGGCAAAGATTCTTTATTTGTAAAATATGGATGGTAATAGTAGTGCGTGTGTCACAGGGTTTTGCGAGGGGAGTGATGAATTACTATTTCTAAAACGATAAGAACAGTCTGTCACTTAGTAAATACTTTGTAAGTGCACTCTCACACAAATCTTTGATATGTTGACAAGTATATGATCAAATTAGAAAGTGTGATCCACTGTATAGGGAATATGGAAGTTACAATTTTTTTCATGAAGATTTTTCCATTAAGTCTATATTGGTTGAAGCCGGTAGTTTTGCCAGTTTTCACTATCAGAGTTAAATTTTTCATCTACTTTTGGCATTCATCATGCTAAATCATTAAAAAGAGATACGAGCCCTACAATCTGGGATAAACAGGGCCATTTAGATACCTGCTATCTCTAAAAGCATTACCATGCAGTTCTGAAGGCACATGAGCCATTAGGCAGTGCTGTTTAATGGGATGGAGGGAACAGGGGAAGGTAAGAGTGAGCAGAAGAGCCTTTCGCTCTTTTAAGAGCATCAACAAGCCATGGCAGATACAGGTTTCAAGCACAGATTCCTCTTGCAGTGATTGCATATATGCATTAAGTTGTTAACGTTAACACTTCATAACGTAAATAAGAGACTGCAAGAGAGAGTCTGTCCCTCACAAAGGCACCATTCGGACATTTTAAATTCACAGTACGAACATTGTAAATTTCCAGTGTATGTGACTGGCATTGAGGTAAGAGACTCAAACATTCTGGAGGGCCTCCAGGAAGCCAGGACTTGGGTCAGTCTTAGGGAACTCTTATTTTATAACAATACAGAACATGGAGGCCCTGAAGGAAATCTTCCACGAGACAGTCTCACACAAATTCTGAAACAGTGAGAGACATAAGGAAAAATATACGGTCAAACCATACGGTCAAAATATATGGTCAAACCTATGGCCCACTGCGTAGGTAACACAGAAATTACACTGTTTTCAATTATTCTGACAAGTTAAAAAGACTGATAGCAACTGGGAAGTGATGGTTTTCCAAAATTGGAGAAAATCACTGGAGAGAAAGTTGTTTATGCTTTAAGTCAATAAATCATTTCTGGAGAAAGGCATTCTTATCACACTGTCTAGAGGTCCCCCGCTGCACAGGCTAGAGAAAAAGGCAAAAGATGACATGAATGTTGATGTCAGGGATTTTTCAAGAGAGAGGGGTTCCCGGCCCCTGTGTTGGGATTCTACACTCTGTGAACCTGCTGCAAAGGCTTCTCCATCACTAGTTCTGTGACACGAGTCCTATTCCTAACTGCTATGTGTGATCAACTACTTAATTCTCTGCAGTGTGTTGTGTCTTTTATATATGATAGTATTTTGTTACATATACTTGTTATACACAATACTATCTTATTATGGTCCCTAACAAGACTACAGGCACCAGAAAAGGAGAAACTGTATTGATGCTTCTGTTATAGCCCAAAGAATGGTGTTTTCCAAAGTTGCAAGCTATTACCCATTGATGAGTTATAGAATTGATTTAGTAGGTCCTGACCAGCATTAAGAAAGAAAAACAGAGGGAAGAAAAATAAAAGGGAGGAAGAAAGTAAAGGAGGGAGGAAAAAAGGAAAAAGAATAGAAAATAAGAGTTGACAGTTCTCTATAAAGGCAAGTATTATTTTGTGTTCATCATATACGTATGTATTCATCATAATGTAAATTGTATTTCTTATTGTCAAGGAAGTTTGCAAGCAACTGCCATAAAACATGGTACACTGTTAGGGAATAACAGTAAGCAAATTAATAACCATCTGTTAACTCAATTTCTTGAAAATAGAAAATAATTATTCCTCGAGTCAGTGTTCTTGGCTCAGTGGAAGAAAGCTTTAGGATGCAGATTTCAGGTCACTTGCTGTCCCTTAATCTCCAAAAATGCTTCCCACGTGTAATTTAGGCAGATATATGTCTTTTCCCTCAAACTATTCAGAGCTGAGATAGATTTCAGTGTTAAAGCAGCATCAGAAATTCCACTGTAAGCTGGGCGAACACACTTTTTGTGCCAGTGAGGATTTAATGCTTACATGTGAAAAGGAAATTTCTAAGCCGGTCTAAATTAACTATGGCGGTGAGAAATTGAAAGTGGACCTCTTTATCTCTACTGACACCTGGACCAAGCCCCAGGGCAGTGGACAGGTGGTGTGAGGAGGTGCAACGCTGAATTCTGCACACCCTACCTGCTCCAGCAGCTGTCGAAGGCGATGGAGCTGAGACTCCAGCTGCTTGTTGTGATCTTCTAAAATCTGCATCCTCGCCTCCAGCCGACCTTTGTGCTGCCGGAGGAGTTTTGCTTCTGCTATGAGTTCTGAATCCTCGGACGTGTGGTGAGGAGATACAATCGAGTCCGGAGGTGAACCGACAGGGAGCCCCCTTCTCAGGTGCTGCTCCTTCAGCTGCTCATATTCCACCTGCAGATTTCTAACGCGGAAAAGGAAAACGGAATTACTACCATGTACGCTGTCTTTTCCCAGAATTGTCCGTGAGCTTCGAATTTAGCTCATGTTATGTCCTCTTACATAAACACGTGTATTAACAGTAAGATGGGCATGTGTGAATAAAACTGTAGCTTTAAGCAAGTAGACATCATCACTGAACCCCCAAACGCTGCTGTATCTGTAGCCATTATCCCGGTTTGTTAATGTCCTCTAAAACTTCCACTCCACTGTGATTTCTCGGACAACAGTCGTGAAAACAGAATGGGAAGGGGCCGTGTTGAATTTTGTATGAAAGAAAAGATGACAGGTTTTCTTCTCCCAGGCCTAGCACACCTTTGTTCTTCCTCCAGGTCAGCAATGATCCGCTCCAGTTCTCCACGTTCTTCCCTTTCCACCGACTTCAGGATCTGAGCTGGGCTCTGTGGCTGGCTCACCGGGGACTCCCCTCCGAGCGTCTGGCAGTACTGCTGGATGAGGGCGTGCTCGTCTTCCCTAGTGAGACAAAGGAAACAGACCCAAGGCTCACATCTGCAAAGCGATGTTTCTGGACATAAAAGAAGTAGAAAGATGACGATGACCAGGCTGGTGGCTGGGCCAAGCTTGCCTTAGAGCTCAGTGTCTCCATGACTTCCCTTTCAAAACTGTAGGAAGAAATCCATCTAACAGTGTGTGTATACTGTATACGAGCCAACATTTCAGGCTTTGCCTTAGTCTAACAGCTCTATCTCACAAACCTCAGAAGAGATATTTTACTCAGCAGAGGAAATGAAAATAAGGCACAACACTTGAACAGTTAATATGAAAGATATTATAGGCAAAAATCCATCACCAAATGCACAAAGAGTAGATTAAAAGACCATTGAGAAAGATTGAGCTGACTTCACTGTCTTTAGCATCTGGTTGAAAGCAATTTCAAAATGCATTGTAACCCACAGGATGGGGTTTATAATCCTTATGTGCTTTTATTTAAATAAATCAGCACAAATTATAATTGTAGATTTTATAAAATAGCTACAGATATTTTACTTAATCTTATCAGCAGGTCATTTTTAGGGTCGATCATTCTGCATTTGAACAAGAAACTACATTTCATTCACTTGGGTTCTTCCGCTTACCTAACTACTTGTCTAATGAACTAGTCATAGCAATAATGTGGTTGAATTAATGATTGACATACATGCAAGTGTAATAAAGTAGACAAAGTTGATACATTTATGGCAAAGAAATATTTTCCAGCAGGCCCAGAATGCCTTTTCTTCCTTTATGAGAGAGATCCATTCAGATACCCTCGTAAATGTGCAAATGCCAGATCTCCTGGCTAATTCTAGCAGGAGAGTCCTTTCGAAGATTGGTCTGTTTATATGGATTTTGGTAAGCAAGTCCTGGAACCTATGGATTTATAAGATGGAACATAAAGAAAACCTCACGTAAGTTATGTAACTATCAGAGTATAAAATGGAGCTATCCCATGACTGAAGCAGTCCCCACCTGTGTAAGTGATGTGGCTATAAATATCCCTTAGTGACCTCTTCTTCACTCTGGGGTCAGAGCATGTGCTAACACAGCCAGAAAGGACCTGGCATATGGTGCTGGCAAGTACTGGACCTCTCTCGACTTTTCTTGGGCCTCCAGGTTACTTGCGCCCTTGAGCTCATTAGAAACACTTGATCCTAGGCAAGAGCTCTGGTTCTTGAATCTGACTTCCATCACTTGGATTCTGAAAATCCATCTTGGTGTTACTGCAGTTTACTCTGACAAAGAGGAGACTTAAAACTGTACCTGAAAGTGAGTGAATTCTTAGTAAAGGTTTCCCCTGAGCATTGAGATCAGAGAGAGAGAGAGAGAGAGAGAGAGAGATGATGATGAAGCAAAATCAGAAAAAGGAGTGTTGCAGTGTTCTGCTTGCCAAACAGCCAGAGCAGAGGGTCAGAGGAGCCACTTGTTGATTTATTTTGCTTCCTTTACCAATATAACTCATCCCTCTCTCTTCCTTTCCTTCTCTCTAGATAGACATAGATATAGAAATGTATATGTGTGTATGTTTATACATATAGATACTTAAATTGAAGTCATTCACTTTGGTTAAGATCACAATATAAACATAGATACCTAACCTCACCTTCCTGCTTTCAAAATCAAATAAATTTTAAAAGGGGTTGGGGTAGGACTCTTATGACATGGTTAGAAACTGGAAATAAGGAACATGACTGGGATAAAGATTGAAGTAACCTATGGCATCATCCTTTGATTCCCTTTCCTGAGACAATGCGGTATCACTGGGAAATAAATGAGGGAACCTCTAGCAGAATCCCACGCTGTTCCTAGGCTTAGAAGAGTGGGAAGAAGAGGAGAGGGTGGGTATTGTACCGTGGCAGAGAGGAGCATTTTAAAGCAGATCCAAAAGCTGCTCAGTTTCCCATGTAGCTAAATCAAATAGAAATCTGACAGGGAGCTGTGGGGTATGTGTGTGTGTGCATTTTCCTAAATGCCCAACACCCTAACCTAGCTATATTATGCAGGGCAGAAGCAGGCTGTGAGACTAATGGCTCAACACCACTGGGACACCAATTAGCGAAGGATCATGAGACACTAAGTCAGTGATGCTTGGAGGCACCTCACCCAGTTCATGTGGGGAGAGAGGCAATAAAAGAGGATAAAAACTACAGAGCTAACATATGGTCAGGATAAATAGACAATAGCAAAATAAGAGTACAGTAGAACATTTTGTAAACATTTTGCAGGATGAAAAAGATCTGTGTATAGAAACTAAAAAGACAGAGAATCTGAAAAATAATAGCAAAAGAACATTCATACACATCCCAGGGAAATGTCTATACTTTAATGTTAAAGAATCACAAGCAATCATCCAGAAATCAAAATAAAACAACAAATCATTTTCAGAAGAAGAAGAAGGTTTAGGCTCCCACTTTCCATAATATTAAATGTCCAAACGCAATGGAGCAACATCTAGAGTCCTAACCTAGCCATTCATATGACCAGACTGGTCATTCATTTATACAGGCAAAGCTCTTTATCCACACGCCAAAAGAAAGAAAGAATGAGCAAGGACAGTGCAAGACAGAATAAAAATAGATGATAATCTCAGATGTTACAATAAATAAGAGGTAAACTGATTCTCATACTGTTTAAAAAACTATTAATTATATGATATCTATGAATAATATACATAAATGAAAATAAAGACTGAAAGTAAAAGTTAAAAAAATAAGTAATATAAGGACAACAAGAATTCAAAGAAAACTTAGGTCCTTTAATCTGCCTGGTGATCTCATGGCCATAATTTGACCAAAGATCCTGGCACGAAGCTCCTCCAATATCACAAGGCACCATTACGCTATTTGTGCCCTCAGAACATGAAATGCCAGTGCTTGAATCAAGGATTAAATGTTGTGTTCAATATTAAATCAACTAAATTTTTGTTCTAAAGAGTTGAAACTAGATTTGAGATGCATTTTGTTGTCAAAATTTACATAGATTCATTTCTCCGGAAAAGTTGATGGGGTTTAACATATTATTATAATTATCATCACCGCTATCATTATATTCTTTCATGAAGGTATCTGGAAAATAATTAAGGCAATTTTCACAAAAATGAAAATTTGAAAATCATTTACATATAATATATAATTTTAGTCTTAAGTGTTTTTCACACATGAGTAGGTCTAAAAGTTAAATATAAAAATAGATACATTCTAGTTCTTAATTATATGTAATAAAAACCAAGAGCACACTCTTTAAATGCAGAGAGAGAATGAGTTACCAGATTAGGGTCATTAAACATCAATCGTGTGTCTCGTGCTAAAATAGAAAATGTTGCAAAAATATAGGTCTGCACGAACAAAACCATTAGATGGAATATAGTTGTACTATAATTAACTGACACATAGTAAATACTATCTAGATTACAAAATTAGTACATGTCAGATGACAAAAGAACTGTGATTCATTCAATGAACTTTTGAAAGTAGATAGGACATAAATAAAAATAACAAGAATCTCCTTCCTTTTAAGGATTATTCTGTTCCAGGCTTCAGATTTGCAAATTGCAATGCCAGTGCAAACCACAGCCAGCCTCCCCACTCAATCCTTTCACATAAAACACTGTCACCCGGGGCAGACTGCAGATGGAGTGAGACCACCTGATAGCAGGGGCCGAAGGAACTGTTGTCCTCGAGTTCCTCCTGAGATCACCAGAACCATCATGGCTCCTGTCCCTTCCTGAAACACGGTTGCTCAATTCTTTCTTCAAAGATATTTTGTATCCTTATAATTAATTTCCTTTTAAATTCTCCAGAGTCAGTCTTACAGAGAAATAGGGAGTCATTGGGAGTTGGGTCTACAAATGGTAAGAAGCCATAAGATCGGTTCATATTCTAGCATGAAGGTGATACATGAAGGTGCAACAAACAATAAACTCGCTTCATGAAAGATGAAAGCTATGGGGATCACGGAATTTCTTCCACAGATCAATTTGAGGGAAAGAGAAAGGCACGAATTGCAGGCAGAACGCCTGCTTCTGAAGATCCAAATGAGTAAAAGGGCCTTAGATATCTTAAAGAGAATTACAATTCAAATCTCAACGTTCTCACCTCGGAGCATAGGGCTTTCTTTTATTGCTAAATGTTGGGTAACTGAGATCACTCAAAACCAAACTTAAGAGTTTGATTTTGATCCAGCAGTTTGTTGAAATGTAAAACCTTCTGAACTGAAAACCTGGTTAGGTCTTGAATGTGAAGCTGCGGCCTGGACGGAGAACAGGCAGGACTGGGACAAGGACAGTGATGGCCCCCAGGAGGACTGGATGGGTGTGCACATCCCCTGACCCCTCCCCCTCCCACCGCCTGGGGAGCCCTCCCTCCTTCCCACATGGCAAAAGCAGCACAGCTGTATGGCGAGGGGCACCCGTGCCTGGTGCCAGCACGCTTGAGTCCAAACCCCACCTCCACCACTTACTGACTGTGGGACCCTGGGCAAGCTCCTAACCTCCCAGGGCCTCCATTTACTCATCTGTAAAATGGTGCTAACAAAGTGAACAAGAGCATCCTCTAAAAGGGTTTCTATGTGGATTAAATAAACAAAGATGTGAAAAGTGCTTAGAACAGTGCCTGGCTCTTAGTATGCTCTATAGCAAGGAGGTGGTGGCGGTTTTTTGTATCATCACTATTATTATTCAAGAATAACAAAACTTCAAGAGGCGTCTAGGAGTAAACTAGAGAATTTAAGAAAGAAAAAAAATTTCCAAAAGTATTGTGGAAATTGGCTAACATACCATTGTTTGCTTAAGGTGCTTTAAATTGGTTTTTAATCTCTCCCGACAACAAAAAAAATTCTAATACCTTGACATTGGCTACCTCCAGATATAGACCTGAGAATGAAGCAGAAGCTGTCTTGAGAAGCCACCAACCTCTCATTCAGAAGCTGACAATACTGTTAGGTGGTCTGGAAAACTGTCATCTGCTGTCTCTTGGGAT